ATCAAGCAATAAGAAAAGGAAACTTGTTAACATACTTTGTGCTCAGAATTCTATATCGTACATAAAATATAATATTCAATAAAACTACTACCACTATCACTACCACTGCTACTACTACTACTACTATTACCACTACCACAACTATTAATACTACTACTAATACTACTACTACTTCTACTACCACTACCACAACTATTAATACTACTACTAATACTAATACTCCTTCGTCTTCTTCTTCTTCTTCTACTACTACTACTACTGCTAATAATAATAATAATAACTAACTTATCCGTCGGACGAAAGATCAGTTTACTTAAAGTGTTAATGGAAATCGCAAATATGGAAAGTAAATATTATATCCATAGCGTGTTAGATTACTGATGTGTATTGGTAGCTAAGCATCTCCCACGGAAACGTAACATGTGATTAAAGAGTGCAATGAGTATTTGTATGGTGAACACTATTCACAAGACTGCTTCTAGGTATTATGTAACGGAACACAATCTCAAAGATGTTACAGCCAACAGTCTAAGTAAAGAGATTCATTTAATCAAAAGTATGGCGTAGACAGGACATTTGATGATTAGACTAGAAGGTTGCAGAACAGATTGCAGGACACTACAACATGCAAATAGATGATCGAAAACTATGTATACATATAGTGATTTCTCAAAATTAACAGTGATATTTTATGTCCACTGTCTTGTTTGACACTAAGTGTTCATGATTTCACATTATGAAGCCACTCGGCGTAAATCATACTACCTTATACTTTGAATACTGTTGAGGAGTCCTATATTGGTACAAAACGGGTTTTCACTAATGGTCTAACTATGAGTTTTTTTTAATTGATATCATGAATCGATTAATGTTAGAGCACCACTGAAAACCCGGTACCATTGAACTGCTATTTCGTATTAGTATGAGACTGTTCAGTAGTGCAAACCCATGACCCTGCACGCGGGATTCGAACCCAGAACGTTTATCCAGTTTCATCATTTCTTTCATTCATTTCTTAATTAACAAAATTTATCATTATGAAGTCAACTGTCACCATGAAATTAAACGGACAAGCTAAGTTTTCTCTTACATACTCAACAGCTCGGTATTACATAGATGTCATTAAGTGATTAGAATGTAAAAGTAATAGGCAATAATTAGAACATCTTTGTCCATATTTTGAATCAAAGATCACTATCATGATAGAAATCTTGTATTTTATAGAGTTCGGGATATAAAGCTAAAAGTTGACTATGTACCACTAAAACATTTTGTTAAATAATATAAGAAAATTGTAATGGAAAAGTTCACACTGGTCATGGTAGCAACTGACACTGTGATAAACGAACCTCAAAAATCAATTTGAAACTCATTTATTATTCACTTAGTGTTGATTTACTTGTATCCATCTTTGCTTAAAGTGCTTGTACCCTAAGGCTATATCGAGGCAATCCTCACAGGATGCACATATACCAATAAGTGAGAGAGATTAATCAGTTTCAATCCTGATTAGCAATCGAAAGATAAAAGTAAACAACACCAAGTGAGCTTGAAACATTACGTCATTTCACAAGCATGTGGCTATCAAAACTCAGTAACTGAATGGATAACATAATAGCGTTTAAAGCAGATGGTACTGGGTTCGAATCCCGGAGTGAACATGAAGTATGGGATGCGGGTTTATCCAGCTGACGAGTCTTAAATAAGACGAAACATGTGTCCTAGATTCCACTGCTATAGCTACTATACATTTTCGTTCATTTTTTATTGTCAATATTAAATATGCCAACAAGAGACTGATCAATTGTAGACCTAAACAACAATGGGATGATACAAGCAAGTAATACCAAGTGAATTAAATATATAATAATTTAAAAGTATTAACGTTTCACATGTAACATTTAATACGGACACCGAAACATTCAATTGTTTTTCATGATGGACAGTATCATTTACGTTTGAATCACTTTAGATAGACATGTTAATATCATTCTATTTAATCTTTAACATAATGATATAATATAGAGAGAAGAAAGCTTGAATTTACTTTGCAAACATTAGACTGAAAATGTTTGAATCTATGTTCATAACGACTAAAACTGTACTATCTTCTTGGATAGATCAAATAACCAAAAATTGTCTTATCTAGAACTTAGGTACTTTATATATCGCATAAAACTTGAGCAATCGAACGCTAGAACCTTTCAAGTCGAAAATTAGAAGACAGAAGAAGACTGGAGAAAGTTCTTGTTCGGTAAGAATCAAGATGTGCAGAAAATTATGGGTATTTATATAGATATTAACGTTTGTTAAGTCAGCATAATAATTCACCCAATCAGGGAAGAGCCATGTTATACTACTGGACAATAGTAGCCTGTCACGTTGATGTTCTAGAAAGCTCCCTTACGTTCTGATTAGATGGAACCCTTCGACTCCTTTAGGGCTTTTAGAGGCTCCGGTGTAGTTCTCGGAAGCCGTCCCAACAGAAATATCACATTTATCAGTAGTGAAGGCCTTATTTTAAAGTTCAAATAGAATTGTGTAACGAAATTACAAGCTTGTAGTTATTGCTTTAAATATAATTTAAAGTGATAAACAAATTGATAAGTGATTATATAGACAAAAGTCATTTCTACCTAATAAGAAATAACGCAGAGAGATTCATTTCATACGGTTAGGGTAGGACTTTAAACCAAACATTTAAGTTTTACCTCGTTCATTTAGTTTTGTCAAACTATGTTAACATAGCTAAGAGAAAACATTTTTCATTTGAAAACAGTTTCCGAAATGATCAGTCTCTTTCACTTATTGGCATATGTGCATCCTGTAAGGATTGCCTCGGTATTGCCTCAAGTCACAAGCTTTTTAAGCAAAGATGGATAGTGACTATATCAATGGAATCCAGGACACACGTTTCGTCTTATTTAAGACTCGTCAGCTGGATGTGTCTGTATCCCATATTTGATATTCACTCCGGGATTCGAACCCAGTACCGTCTGCTTTAAACACTATTATGTTATCCATTCAGTTACTGAGTTTTGATAGCCACCTGCTTGTGAAATAGGGTAAATTTTCAAGCTCACTTGGTATTGTTTACTTTTATCTTTCGATTGTTAATCAGGACTGAAATTGATTAATCTCTCTCACTTATTGGTATATGTGCATCGTAAGCGGACTGCCTCACAAGCTTTCTAACTAAACCTAGAAGTCTACAGTAATATCTAGATATTAATGAACTAGTAAACCTCCTGCTTTATGTTAGAACTAAATACTTCATCTCATCCAAATTCAGATCATATTTCTCACTGAATGTTGCAGATGAGTAAATACCTAACTGTTGAGAAAGAAGAAATCTAGATGGATTATTCATTTTACATGAATTGTTAGTTTACATCCGAGGGTTGCAGCTGGTGAGGAGTTTTTAAAACATTGATGAAATGATTGTCAATAGAATTCGGGAGCAAAAAAACAATTACATCAGCTTAGCAGTGGTTTGTTATTGATACAGCGACGAGTGATAAGAAGACCAATGTTCAATGAATGTGATAGCTATTTACATTTTCATTTATCATATATTAAACAAGATCTTTGTGGATACCTGTGGAGTAAGTCGGTTAAATCCACTATATAGGTACAATATTTATTTACTATAGTATTTTGAGATTATCGCAAACTTATTACAAATTTATATCAGTATGGAGTTGAGGAGATTATTAAGCTTTTGATTGAGATCACGAATCGATTGATTCTAGAGCACCATTGAAAACCTGTAGGCACTGTAAAATCGTTTCGTCCTTCTGTGGGACTCCTCAGCAGTGTGTCTTCACGATCTCGCCTCATGAGGTTCGAACACGTAATCTATTCGTTTCGCGCGCTAACGCTTATCCATTAAACCACTGATCCGGCCGGTAACCAACGGTGTTAATGTTTAACTTCAACCAGTCCACGAAATTGTGCGACTACCTTCCATTGTACTGAGGTAGATAACTGTCTGTATGCAACACGGATTAACTCGATTTGTCACTGCTTCCCATTAGAACCCCGGGAATTCCCTCACGAATTTGGTCACTAGTGAGCATACGGTAATTATCAGTATAGGGTTAAGAAGAATACTAAGTTTTCTAATTGGGATAATGAACCGATTGATTTTAAACCACCATTGAAAACCTGAAAGCACTGGACGGCCGTTTCATCCTATTGTGGGACTCCTCCTTGACAGTGCGCATCAAGATTCTGCTCGCGGGATCTAACATCAATCCATTCATGATCTCAATCAAATACAAACTCATAGCAAAATTAGAGAGGGGTTTTGTGAATATCATTGTAATTTAGTGGTTAAATTTATGATTTCGTTGAAGCGAGATCATCATGGAATACCTGGAAGTAATGGATAGCCGTTTCGTCTTAGTATTTGACACCTCAGCAGTGCACACCTACAATACCGCCTCGTGGCATCCGAACCCAAGACCTATGACTCTCGCGCATGAACCACTGAGACTGCCAGCATTCAACGGTGTTAATGTCTAACCTCAACCAGTTCACAAAGTTGCGCCATCGTCTAATATTCTCTTAAGTGAGTTATTGTCTCACAACAGATTCGATTAAACTCTATAGGTCATAGATTTCTAGATTGTTCATCTTGATCTAACTTCAATGAATTCATGTATTCAACTACTTAATCATAGTAAAATATTTTATCACTTATAAATACGGCGGCGCAACTTCGTGGATTGGTTGAAGTTATACATTAACACCGCTGGAGACCGGCTCAGTGGTCTAGTTGGTTAAGCGCCTGGTGCAAGACTGATAGGTCCTGGGTTCGAATCTCTCGGGATGCGGAATCTGGGATGCTCACTGCTGAGGAGTCTCATACTAGGACGAAACGGCCGTCCAATGCTTCCAGGTTTTCCATAGTGGTCTAGCTTCAATTGACTCATGGTTTCAATCTCTGAAATTCGTAAAATCTCCTCAAACCCCTTTTGACTTATAAACACATTTAACAACTGTATTGTTTATTTTGAATGAGTACTGTTGTTATCCTTTTGATGGTTACAATTACTTATGAATGATATAAAATGATATGAAATTTTTTCTCAATGAAACACTTAGATACCTTTTCATTATCTTATTTATAAGTTTGATTAAATTATTCAAAATAAATTTCAATCTTTCAAAACACTTTAGTCTGTATTGACTACTTTTAGGTTTGTTTGTTTATTTTTTTGGATTGACTAAACGACATCATTTTCATTATGGAAAGTTGTTTTCTTTCTTTTCTTTTCTTTTCTTTTTTTATTGTTGTTGTTTTGTTTTGCTTTTTTAATTATTTATACATTATGAAATCATTATTGGCTATTGATATTTATGTTTAAATGACTTTAACTTGAAATAAAATATTGAACTATGAACATGAAAGAAGAAAGAAAAAAGAAAAAAGAAAAAGAAAATTGAAAAGTTTTTTGGGGGTGGGGGTTAAGAAACAACGAAAAAAATACAAAAACTTTTTATTCATAATTAAAAAAAATGATTTAAAATTATAGTTCATAAGGTTAAAAAAAACTGAACTATTCTGTTGAACTTGAAATGAAACAAAAAGGAGTAAAAAAAAGAAAAAAAGAAAAATAAGAAAAAACCAAAAAGGGGTGAGAGAAGAAACAATGAAAAAAATACAAAAACTTCTATCCATAGTCAAAACTTGATTTAAAATTATGGTTCATAAGGTGAAAAAAAATCAACTATTCTGTTGAACTTAAAATGAAACAAAAAGAAATGAAAAACAAGAAAAAAGAAAAAAATAAAGAAAAACGAAAAGTTGGGGAGCGGGAAGAAACTACGAAAAAAAAATTGCAAAAACTTTCATGGATAATAACGGAATAATTAAAAATTATAGTTAAAAATGAAATAAAAAAAGGGAATGAAAAGAAAAAAAGAAAAAATGACCGAGAAAATTTCAAAAAGGGTGGAGTTGATGCCAAAGAGATAAAAAATTATAAAGAAAAAACAACAGTCGATGATTATTATTATTAATGATCTATGTGTTATATAAATGTATTAAAATAATTTCCACCCCCACTCTCACCCCCGAAAAAAGAATCTATTAAGCAACTATAGCTGTTGAATCTTTTTGTAAATTGGCTTGCATACGTACTTGATATTTTGGTGATGAAACGGATCGATGAATAGGATCAATATTATGTTGCTTTATAAATATATGATTATTGTTTTCATTATTATTATCATTATTATTACCATTACAAACATCATTATTATTATTGTCAGTATTATTATTAGTAGTATTACAGTCATCTCTGTTATTATTTATTATATTACGATTGAATTTTTCTAATAATGGTGATGTTGAAGTACTGTAACCAGGTGGAAATACTCTATAACGATCATATGTCATATGAATTGTTGAACGACGTCTTAACATTTCAACAGCTTGTAAACGACGTTCTCTTGCAATAGGTGTTTCATGATGTAATAAAAATGGTGATATATTTGCTGGTATATCTAAATCATCATTATCATTATCATTATTATTATTATTATTACTATTATTAAATTGATTATAAGTAATATCACAATGATTATTATCTTTTTCTTTATTTATATCATTATTATTATTATTATTCGAATGATTGATCTCATTTAGATCTGTATGAACTTTAATTAATTCTGTAAAATAGGTTACTAAACTTTTAACATTTGGTATTGGTGTATCACGTGTTTTCACTAAATTTGGATATAAATCAGTTGCTAGTTCAGTTGAACCATTTAATAATTCTATATGATTAGAATTTGTATTTAATAATAATAATGAATTGATATTTGTTGTATTTGATAAATGACTTGATATTTTACTATTCATATAACGTATTTCTGATGTAATTAATGTAGGATTTTTTTGTTTTTCCATACTACTGATTTCATTCATATTATATAATTTTGGTTTAGGTAATATAGATGGAATACATTTCAATGATGATGATGATGATGTTGTTGTATCATTATATTCATTTGAATCCATATTAGGATTTAATAATGAAGAATGTTTACCTAGAGATGATTTAGTCGGATCATTTAAACTACTTAAATCTTTAATAGTAATAATACGTTCATTTTGACATTTATTCTTATGATTAGATTTAGAATTAGAAGTAATATCTTCTGTAGATGTTGATTGAGGTGATGGTTCATTCAATGGTTCAGATGATAAAGTATTTTTAACACGTGAATTATTCAGAAGAAGATTTGGGTTTGAATTCATCGGTTCCATAATTATTTTATTCTTTATACTACTTATTTCATTATCAGTAGTGTAATTAGTATTACTAAAATTACTATGATGATGATGATTATGATTTGGATTATTGACAAATTCTAATTTGATTTCATTAGTCGAAGTATTTGTATATTCAGATGTTGGTCGACTAATAATTAAATTACCTTCATGAAGGTTTCCATGTTTTTCATTATTCAAAATGAAATCTGTTTGTTGTTTAATAATTTGTATTTTCACTTCTTTATCATTATCATCATTATCATCACGATTTTCTTGTTGTTTATATTGTTCATAAGATGATTCCTTGTTATTCATGTCTTGATTATGGGTGATTACTTTTGAATGGATCCAACCATTGTAATCTTGATTTTCTTCATTATCAGTAGTTATAGCAATAGCATCGTCATCATCCTCATCATCCTCATCCTCATTATCATTATTATCATTAACTTGTTCCTCAGAATATCTTGATGAATGTATCATAAAATCTTTATCTTGATATTCATCAGGTGGTAATGGTGATATAGTTGGTGAACTAGGTGTATCACCTAATGTACCAAGTTGAATCCATTGAGTTATATGTTGTTGTTTATCCGCTTCATTCATTTGTCTTGGTTTAATATCAACTATAATTTTATTACAATCTAATTTAGATATTTGATGTGAAGATTTTAAATTTTTTGATAAATGATCATATAATTCAATTTGATTTAAACTATTCACATTACTATTTGGAATGACATTAGATCGAGACTTATTACTTATTATATTGAGATTATAAGATTTTCTATCCATTGATGTATAATATCGATGATCATCTTGGGAATATTCAGGGGATTGAAATATAATCCGTTCATAATCATCTTCTATATCATGATGAGAATGATGACTGTTATTATTATTATTATTATTATTATTGTTAGTTGAATGAATAAATTGGGGAGTTGAACATTTATCTAATGATATACATGAATTACCAAGAGAATAAGTTGAATTTTTCACTTTCTTACGTTTCAACGATGAACGTCCACATCCTTTACAAATATAAGTACGTACTTTTTCATTATATTTAGTATTTAGACAACCATCACTGTTATCTCTGTGTCGATGATGATGATGATGATGGTGATGACGACGATTATGATTATAATAATGAACTGATTGATTCATGGGATTTTTTCTATAAGATATAAAATCATCATTTTGTACATTCGGTAAAGAATTAGAAGTAGGTGCAGGAATAACAAACATTGCAGTTTTATATAAACCAATCTCATTAGTTTGTTCAAGATGTTTCTGTGATGGTAATCTTGAACAAAGTGAACGTGTTGATAAATGTTTTTCATGACTACTTAATGGTCTATATGTTCTTGATACATCATTTGTATGAGGGGGATTTAATTGATTTTGTAAATTAGAAAGAAGTGGACGTCTATGTGATTCATTACCTGAATGAAGGAAACTATATCGATCATGAGTATCAGATATATTCCCTTGATGATAGTCTACTTTAAATGGATTGGAACGAGATCTTACTGATGAATAAAATTTCAATCCATCATTCAATGATTTATGATTAAAGGATCCTGTGATTGTATTGAATCTTGAATGGGATCTATTACTAGAATTGTTTCTATTACTAGAATGTTTATATTTATTCAATTCAATTTCATAACTTGATCGGATATTATAGTTTCTATTAGATTGAATTTGTATATCATAAGGCTGTGGTGAATGATTTTCATGTGAATAATCCAATTCAGGATACTTAATTAAAAGATCTGAATTCATCACTTGTAAACGATGATTGGAATAAGTTTTTGGAGCTGAAAGTGGACGATAATTTTCGTATGTATCGTTTTTTCTGTAGTTATAATTTGGTGTATAAATAATAGAAGGTTCAAATTTACAAGAAATTGAATCACGTCGTTGAATTTGTGAACTTCCACCACCTGGTAAAGTATATGTTCCAGAAGTAAGTGTTGATTCACTGATCGATGATCCTAAAACGATCACAAAAAAAAATCAGTAAAAATACAATCCATAAGTGTTATTTATAGAATGAGTTCCAGTAAATAACTGTCAGATTAGTAATCAATTATTATAGATCCTGATCATGTTAAATTTAATGGACTTAAATAGCTGAAGGGCCCAGTCAAACAGTCATGTCAATTTCCGACGCTAAACACAGGTAATGAAAACCATTTTCAGTCAGTCAGTCAGCTACAACGTAGGACCAGGCACATATGTGCATCGGTCCAGGTTGCCATACCTCATTAGCACAACAAGATGAACACCGGATTCATAGGAGTGGTTAGGTCAAAGGTTGCAATAAGGATATAGTATAGGAAGGAAGAATTAGTTCGTAGAAAGAAAGATATGAAGTGATTTTAATCTCATAGTTTAAGGGAAGACAGGGAGTGTATACACCGACGCCATTGTGATCGATTCTGAGCCATGTCACCAAGAGTCTCCAACCATTGGTTACGAAAGTCACGCGGACCCCAACCAAGTAGTCTGCATCTACCAACATGGCTCAGACTAGAAGTTAGTGACTTCAAGCACTGATGCCACGTTTTGGTTTGGCCGCCCCTAACTTTTTTCCAACCATCCCCTACACCGGTTAGCATTGCACGTCGTGGTAATCGGTGTTCAGGCATACGTAATACGTGGCCCAACCATCTCAGTCGATGAAGATTCACAACCTCATCAACTGATTTACCATCGTTACCTAATACCCTACGTCTAACCTCACTATTACTTACCCGGTGATCCCAGCAGATGCCAGCAATATTTCTAAGGCATCTGTGGTCAAATACTTGTAGCTTACGGGTGTCTTCTACTCTTAAAGGCCATGTTTCGCTGCCGTAAAGTAAGACAGAACGGACTGCCGCGCAGTATACTCGTCCTTTTATTGATAGACGGATATCTCGCCTTCGCCAAAGGTGACGTAAGTTGGCAAAAGCCAAGCGAGCTTTTCGAATCCGTGCTGAGATTTCGTCAGACACCAACCCATTAGGGCTGATCAGACTTCCAAGATAAGTGAAGTTGTCAACGCGTTCGACTACTTCACTCCCTATCCTTAGTTTAGGTGTTGATGCAGACCAGTCCTGAAGCAACAACTTGCATTTAGAGGGAGAGAAGCGCATCCCAAACATTCTGGCATTGTTGCTTAGTGCTACCAGAAGACTCTGCATTTTGTCAGCGTCTTCACCAAACAGGACTATGTCATCTGCGTATTCTAAGTCGATAAGTGGACCTCCTGGAAGGAGATCAATACCCGAGAATTCAGTCGACGAGAGTGTTATTTCCATCAATAGGTCAATGATGAAGTTAAACAAAAATGGAGAAAGTGGACAGCCTTGACGGACACCACTTGAAGTTGCAAAAGTAGATGACAGTTCGCCATAAGCCCTGACTCGACTAGTAGTGTTCGAGTAAAGAGCCTTCACAAGGTTTATGTACTTCTGAGGTACGCCTTTCAATGACAGACACTGCCACAGAGTCTCGCGGTCTACAGAGTCAAACGCTGCTTTTAAGTCAAGAAAGACCACCATCGTCGGACGCCGATAGGTATGCCTGTGTTCTAGAACCTGACGAATGGTGAATATGTGGTCGATGCAGCCACGACCAGGTCTAAAGCCAGCTTGGTTCTCTCGAGTTTGTAGTTCACGAGTCTTAGTTAGACGTCTGATAATTATCGAGGCCAGTATTTTAGATACTATGTTTGTTAAACTAATCCCTCTGTGGTTGTCACAGGATGATTTTGACCCTTTCTTATATATTGGGACGATAAGTGATTGCGACCAGTCAGATGGGATAAAGTCTAATTCCCAGATCTTAGCTAAAATATTAGTCAACCTAATCGCTAAAATTGGACCACCATCCTTAAAGACCTCTGGAGCCAATCCATCTGGACCAGCTGCCCTTCCTCGTTTCAGATTAACTATAGCCTTTTGAACTTCAGCAAGAGTTGGGGGACCTACTTCAATGTTCCATTCACATTGTCTGGGAATGGAGGGTAGTTGTAGAGTAGCTGAAGGCCAGCTGAACTGTTCTCTAAAATGTTCCGCCCATCTTCTTCACATACGTAACCCATTTACTAAGTCAATCCCAGTCACTAGATAGAATAAGTTAGTCATGTGAAGAATCACATACACGGAAAATATATGTATTTCATACAGGCAAATTGTTATAACTTGCGACCGCTGATTAGAGGGCAGTGACTTATCGATCGGACCAAGGACGCGTAAAACACGTTCGAACAATCTAGAGTCCTGATTGGTCCTGCTTTCCGCCTAGCCCAGCCAGTTAATTCCAGAACGCCAATCTCAGCCTCTGCAATATGAATCACTTATTTCAAGCATTCTGGGTTTATATACCAACCAGACAGACTACATCGTAGCATAAAATAGAAAATAACATTTATACAAGATTTGGCGAGATGTGGCTGTGAATGAGGGAGACTGTAATTAATAGATTGAGTATAAGTCAAAAATAGTAAAACGTATAATAATAGTTTATAGGTCAAAATAAAGCTTATAATACGAGGAATATGAATATACATAGTTTAGATACTTAACAATCATACAATAGAAATATACGTTTCGTATTGGTCCATCAATAGATCCCAGAAGTTAGCATTCATTATTCTTGTTGGGACATAACACAAATACTTCACAGGAGTGAACATGGTTGATCATACTAAATTTATGTATCATATTTTTCTTCATTTAATTATGCCTAACGTCAAGCTTACCATTTACACATTAATAATACTGAGATTGTAGGTAAATAAACATTTCTTTATGTATGACCTCGACGGTGTCGAGATAAGATGGTGGTTGGAAGTAGTCAACAAGAAACCCTGGATGACACGGGATCAAATCCGTCAGAGAGCACCAGATCCTTCAAGATTACAGGCACACCTTGCTGACGAGTGTCAAATAGCACGAAAATCGGGTCTAGAGTTTCCTGTTGACTACCTCCAACCATCATCATATCTCAGCATAGTGTACACAGTGTCGAGTCGCCTTGACTAGTAGCTACATTGAAACTTGGTCGATAGGATTCGATCTGTACTAAGAAAGACCTGACACACATAACATTAATCACCATCCAGTGTTGAATCAATTTTGAATACTCAACAATGTTATTTTATATTCAACAAAATTATTGTTTACATTTGTTGAACAATTTCATGATATCATTGTTGTCATAGATGACTTTAAATTTATTATTTCACTATATAATTCAAAGTTTTGAGTTTCTTATGCTTTGATCAAACTTATCAGGAGATCTATAAACGGATTTTGAATAGTAACTTCAGCAAAAGTTGTAATAAGACTTATAAAATTGAACTGTCTTCTTTCGTTATCAATGACGAATGCTGACAGTTAGTTAGTTAGTTAGTTAGTTAGGAGGATAATGCATGAAGAATTTCGCAGTTGTTGGCATTCATCGAAAAGTGATACTGAAGAAACTGAGGAACAAAATATATAAGCAAACTATATTGTTTCACTTTGATTAGATCATTATCAAACTTCACTCTAATATACAGTAATATTTAATAAACATATACGTAATTATGAAATCAATCAAGGCAGTTTATGAGTCCATCTGAAGTTTTTGGTGATGATGACGAAATCATCTAGCTTAGAGAATAAAACTCCATCAACAAACAGTTTATGAGTCAATGATAATGGTGGAATAGATTATATAAATAAACATAATAAGTAAAGAGTTCAAATTGATAGTGTAATGATAAGTGTATTAGTTGTGATACGAATAACAAAGGATTGTATCCATGTTTGATCATGGGAATTATGTCAATGATTTAAGTGATATAGATATTGAGATAATATTTGTTAAATCGATAAGATTATGTAATAAGATGTGTTCAAATAATTAGACGATGAAGAGTACTGGGTTCGAGTCACGGAGTGAACATCATCTTTGGGATGTAGGTAAATCCAGCTGACGAGTCCTAAATAGGACGAAACGTACGTCCTGGTTTCCACTACTAGCCACTATCCATCTTTGCCTATGATACTTGTGAATTAAGGCAATGTCGAGGCAATCCTCACAAGATGCACATATGCTAATAAGAGACTGATCGATGAGTCGATAATTTATAGATGACCTTTAAGAGACATTAAAGTGACCTTGAGAATGTCCACCGAATTACTAGGAGCAAATCAGGATTAGGGTCAGAAATTAGATTCAGGGTTTTTTATCACGAACTGACATTAGCTATAATGCCTAAACTGTATTTAACCAAACGAATGAATGAATTAGGCGCCAAAATTCGAGACCTGTTATGTTATACGTGATCGATTCGTCCATAAATCAATGGGAATATTTAGACAAACAATATGAAATGAATTAATAGCGTTTATGTAGTAGATAGAAATAAATCAGTTAAAGTAATTTATCGTATTACTGCTAGTTTTTCTTTTGGGATTCGATCTCATCTCTTGCATATAACAGAAGCTAATAATCCAACTCTTTGTTGACATACGAAATCTGTAACACCTTTATCTCTACCTTGGCCTTAATAAATGACTTTATTTGTTATTATTTTCTATACACTTTGTTTATTTTCCTTCACCCTCTTGCATCTATTTTTTCCCCAAACATAGGCTTTATTTTTTGATTGAGTATATGAACCGATTGATGTTAGACTGCCACAATTGAAAACCTGGAAGCACTGGGCGGCCGTTTCGTCCTATTGTGCCGGCTCAGTGGTCTAGTTGGTTAAGCGTTCGCGCGCGAGACCGAAGGCCCTGGGTTCGAATCCCGCTCGCGGGATCATGGATGCGCACTGCTGAGGAGTCCCGAAATAGGGCGAAGCGGACGTCCAGTGCTTCCAGGTTTCCAAAGGTGGTCTAACATCAATCGGTTCATGATCTCAATCAAAAACTTAATAATCTTCACAACCCCTATAATAGGCTTTATTGTCCAATTATCTGAACACATCCCATCTCAATATCTATATCACTTA